GTTGAACGAACGAATACATTTAAACGTATGTAAAAACTGACATTCTACAAAACCGTTTTATAAACGTGCCGGTTACGATAACCATAGCCGTTCGCCGTACACGCGTAACGCCTCGTGTTATTACTTGATAAAAAATTGGCGCTCTGAAAAACGCGATCGAACCAACGATGTAGTATAAAACAATATGAAAAAGGAGGTAAAAATATTGATTAATAATAATTGTACCCGAGCGACAAAATAATAAAAACTATAAGCGGATATATATTACACGTTTAATGTCATATGTAAGCATGCAATCGGGAAACCGAGTCGTTTCAACGACGAAAAAGAAAATTTTGAAAAAAAAAATAAAAAAAAATTACATCGCGTAAGAAATAACGCGGAAAATCCGACCGACCGGGCGCCCGGGTAATGTTCTTACGGGCCGTACAAAGGTGGCGGCGCCGCCGTGAAACGATCCGGGGACGCCGATCGCCTAAACTGCCTAACCTGCCTGTCGACCTGCAACGTTTGCGGGGGGGAAAAAAAAAACCCCGAACGTTCTACGGGCGGGTATACGAGTCGCGATTGTTACGCGTAAACGGTTTGAAACGAAACGGGCGCTTGGCGAGGAAAACGTACGGGAACGGCGAAGCGGGTAAATAACGGCGGGTTAAAGCGCGGCATTACCATAGCGACGGCATTACCGAACGCGGATGACCCCGTAGACAACGACGTCGGGAGACGGTCGGTCGGTCCGACGCGGACCACGCGGAACGACGTATTCGGAAGACGGACAATCGGATATCGGAATCGGACAGCGTTCGGGTGTCGCGGAAAACATTGAAACGCGTCCGAATGGTTTCTGAAAGAGTTTTGGAGTGAAACCGAACCGCGCGAAAACGGCGGGAAAAAAAATTGTCCTGGTGACTCGGTAACGCTACGAGCCGGTGCGCGTCAGAGAGATGCGTACGGCGCCGCGGTTGCCGTTCGATCGTATGCGATTAACAATTGATTGCGTGCCGTTATCGTGTACAAAATGCGCGTGCGTTCGCTGCGAGAGCGCGAGACCTTTCCGAAATCGCCGTGTCGAGTTTGAAAATATCAAATTTCCTCGTATTCTTCGCGCCGGGAAACGTCCCGCGTGCGTCCGCAATACGAAGGCGATTGGTCGACGGTGACCCGAAATTGTGTTACTCGCGCAAACACAATAGCGGAGATACGCCTGCAGGTGTATCGGTGATTATTAGACCCCCGTGATATTTGACCGGAGCGGTAAAATAATTGTCTCGTTTATCCGGTGAAACTTTAACCCCCGCCCTCGGACAAACTTCACTAGTGAATATTTAACCGGGTTAACTAGTTAACGCCTTTTCTCCTACTCTGGCCGTAATTTTCCCGTAGTATTATCGTCCGCGCAATAACGGTAAGCACATCTAAAGGAAAGTGTCCCGTCGCTGCGTCCGCGATCCCGTACGCGTTGTACCGGCCGAAGTTATAAAACACTGTTTTTCGCGTACCGTGCACTAAGCGCTCGTACGAGCATTTAATTAAAAGGGGCCTGCGCTATGTACGCGTTTTTATAGCGGCATTACGGGCGCAGGAATATTTTTAACGGCAGCTGTTTAACTGCGCCCGCCGAACGACTCCGGTTTGACTTTATTACGCCTGGACGTCGTCGTCAACACCTTGTGTAAGACCAACAGTATGGGTACGCGCGCGCAGTGTGTAGGGCGTATCTATCACGGTACCGCATGGTGTATTTTAAACAATACACAATGCGAGAAACGCGACATTCGATAGAAACCGTTATTTAAAAAAAAAAAAATTTACGCAATGTTGTCGTTGACGTTTTTTCGTATACTGGCCCCGGCGTTGTCTGCACCTACTTCATTGGGGTTTTTTTTTTTTTAAAGCGTAATTTCTACAACATCCTATACAATCAAACAGACGCGATGTGACGTGTCTTCCAGTCCCTTCATTTTTTATTTCACTGTTTCTTCACTTGTGATACCAAGGATATAATACGGTTTTCTGTTATCATTTTACAACGGTGTAACCGTGGTAACTCGACAATCGACAAAAGTAATTTGATTTTTGTTCCAAAAATACTTAACAATGAAAAACGTTGTTTCTGTTGCGCCAACAATTTAAGTACCTACCAATGAAAAATTACGTAAATACGATTCATAAAATTAAAATTTCTATAAATAGCTCAAAAAAAAAAGGCTCAAATGTTTTTAAAATTGTATCACGATTAGAGAAGGCAAAATATTAAATAAATTAAAATTTCAATTATAATTGATGAATATCTGAAGAACTGAATAACATTAAAATAAGAGAGCTGATTCTGGGTATGGGTGCAGCCACTGTTGTAGGTGGAAAGTTGAGAAAGTTATTTCACTTATACCTGCAAGCAACGATAAACCGTCGCTGACGAAAGACGATTCCTAGCGCAGTTCGGCAATACATAATTCGAAGAAAGGAAATTTTTACTTAATCGTCGATACACAACTTTACTATTGTATTATGTACTGTTATCATTTTTATTAACAACAGTATAATCATTAAACTAACAGGAAATTTCCCCGATTATATATTTCCGGCAATTATAACTGAAATTATCAACATTTTATCAAATTGTTGATTTTTAGTATACACTGGTGCAATTTAAATAACGAAATGTGAGCATTCTGTCCGTTATTCAAGTTACTACCATTATTTTTAACGGAATTACAACAACTTCATCTCCATCTGATCTTCCCTAATTATTATGAAATCAAAAAATGACTTACGCCATAATAAATAAGATGTACAATGAAACAAAAAAGGCTTCTTGTTATTTTTCGATTCAACATTTTTCTTAATAAAAAATGTATTCCGTATTAATATATAATAATGATATCCTGAAACTACAATACGTTTTTTTCCGATTATTATGAAAATTAATTCAAAAATCAAGAAATCGAACTCGATTAAAACCAAGATTAATAATTAAATAAAAAAGGTTTCTTGTAGTTTTTCAATTAGAGCCATATTTGTGCTAAAAAACGTGGTAGGTACCTATATAAAATAACAAAATCGTAAAAAAATCGTATTTTTTTAATTTTTATTTTAAAAAATTACCATGCATTTATCAAGTAAATAAAATTGACTTTCAGAAAAAGTGCTACGATTATACATTGGAGAAAGCTTTCTAGGATAAAAGTGGTTTACAGTATAGGAAAAAAAAAAAAGTACCATTGTAAAAAAGGAAAAAAGGTTGTTCAATTATTTTGGAAATTTTACCACGTCTAAGTAAGTCCAATATAATTTTCAGTATTATTACTAAGTTCCAAGACTCTACGTGTATTTATAAACAAATTACAACAAAAAAACTCCAAAAATATAAAAACCTCAATAGTGGCTCAAAAGTTTTGACAATGATACCGTAAGAAACTAAATCAAAAAAGCACCAAAAAATATCTTTTGTGAGTTTTTAATTAAATCATTCTTTTCTAGTACAGAGTGTTGTCCGTGTTTTTATAAAATAATGAAATCGTGAAATTTTACGTTTTCCTACGTTTTTTCCAGTGAAGTGGTTTTATTTAAAAAATGTCGTCACATAAGTACCATCTTGACAACTTGAGCTTTTAGAAAAGTTGCTACACCTAAAATCAAAGCACGTTTACTAGGAAAAACATGTCCACAGACTAGAAAAAAAAAAAAAGAAAAGAAAGAAATAAACATTTTAGTAAAAACAATAGCTCCCTCGTTACGCTCGGAATCTAAAATACAAAATTTAATATAATAAAAGAATTATTTTTCTAAATTTGTCTATTCTTTTTTTGCAAGTTTTTCAGTTTTCTTCAATTATTAAAAAATCTACAAAGAAAATCTAAAAACGAATTTCTTTGCCACTAACTAAATTAAAATGTCAACAAAATAATATCTGTGTCATTTTTCAATTGAAGCAAGAATTCTGGTATAAATCATAAAATGTCAAAATTAAATCCGATAAAATCGATGATTTGTAGTAAATATCTGCCGTTTTACCTATAGTTTTTTTTCGAGTTTTTCCCAACTATTTCGAAAACCTCTTGGAAACATGAAATTTAACTTATATAATGCACCAATTAGACGAAATTTCCTTTCAGAAATGATACTTTACTCTATATATCGGACAATTTTTCTTTTCGAAAAGTTATTCATAGACAAAAAAAAAAGCACAAATCATAGTAAATTAATAAATCCTTTGCTACGCTCCAATATCGTATGATTATAATTTGCTCAAAGAGCGCCTAAATAATTTGAAAACTTGACCACGTCTAGAAATCTTCTAGTATTCTACGAACGTTTTAGATCTCTTCGATTATATATCTTTTAAAAAACTAAATAAATAGATTAGACAAATTTCAATATCGTTGTTTTTTCTCGCGTAATTTTCGTACTTGGAAAAAAAAAGTGTAAACCTTCAATTATGACCGTTTGGTCAGTGATATTTTATTTGTATGAAGATAAAACAAACGACTTTTTGTTAAAAATATGATTAATTATTATTCCAACTTCCCATCTACAATAAATAATGGCACATCAGCAGCAGTATTAGCTTTTCTTTTCTCCTGCCCCAATTACATTATTGTTTATCAATAGTAATTTTGACATTCCTACGTAGTACATACTTGTCTTTCTTTATTGTTTAATTTTATTAAATAGCCAAACAGCTATTGCTACAAAATCGCATAATGACATTATAATTCAGTTTTCGATTATTTGGCCTACTCAAAACGTCAGTTAACAACTTCGCGTCATATTATCTCTAGCTAGTTTATTAACCGTATTTGTGTTGCAGTGTATAATAATCATATACTCTGTATGTATAGCAACGGCGATAGTGCAATGGATAACGCGGAAAACGCCACATCGGAGTACGTCACATACCGTGTTGTTGACAACGTCGAGTCAATTAAATACAATATTATTAATGCGTTATTATATAAATACGTAATATACGTAATATAAAGGTACCGTAAAGATCGAAAATGTCCGACCCTAGCGATCAGAGCGAAGAACAGTCGTCGAACAAAGACCGCACGTCGGATTCGGAAAAAACCGACGACGACGTGTCGTTCAAAGACAGAATGAAAAAGAAAATGTCAAAGACCCAGTCCAAGTCCACTAAGTCCAAGTCGAGGATCATGAACGTGAAAAAGAAAAAATCGGACACGAACGCGGATGGCGGCGCGGCGGAGATCGCCGATCTAATAGAAGCCATCGTGGTGGCCAACGTCAGTCTCGTGGATTTAAAAGAAGGCTATTATAGCGATTTGCGGTACTTGGTACCGCCGCCCGAACAGAACAAAAACCATCTGGAATGTCAGGGGATCGTGAACAGAAAACTGCGTGAAATGCACGACGCGATCGACGAAATAAACAGGACGCTGGACGCCGTGAACCTTTCCGTGTTCGAGTGCAATCGCCTGCCGTCCGAAGTATCGGAATCGCCCACGGTCAGCGATCTGGCGAAATGCGCGAAAATGCCGCTCAGAGGTCGACTGTTAAAACCGGACACGGGTATCACGATGAAGACCTATCGTCATAAAAAGAAAAAGTAACCGTTAAACAGCGAAAAAAAGCTCGCAGCTGTTCAAACGCGATTAGAAAACTCTGAATTGATAATATTGACTATATCTATACGTACGGGGCGGTGATTTAATAAGCGAGCACACCACATTTTTTTGGTTAAATTTTTCATACGATGTTTTTTGGAATTTTTAAGTGTAGTTAAAACCGATATTTTTGAATATTTAGATTTTTCACAGTATTTAAAGAGTAACCTGTGACGATAATAACTTTGGTTTTTCCCGTATTAAAAAACATATAAATAGACTGATCATTAATTTAAGTATAGTTTGTTGTCAAAATTTTTGATTTCCGTCAACCCGTTAACGAGACTTTTAAGTTAAGGTTGGAGGAATGTAGTGGAGTATCATTTGTGTGGCAGCACGGCACACGGCGTTTTATTATTGCTCCGTTAATCTCCTCCTAGCTAAACTAAAAAGTCGAATATCTCGTTAACGGGTTGACGGAAATCAAACATTTTGACACCGACATCTATTTAAAGTAAAACTCCATCTATTTGTGGAAATTTATATAGGTTCTCATTTGAAAAATCTAAGTTAGTAACTTTATATTTATATATAATTGCCAATATTAATATAGTGTAAATGATTGTGCAAGGTACGGTGGTTTTCGGTTTAGTGCACTGTGTTTTTGGTCAAAACGAATACCGAATTTTTAAATGGGCTACACCATACCCCTGTAGGTACTTATGTAAGTTCATATGCCGTGCCCCCTCCCTCATATCCGACATACTGTTTTGTAACCGTGCTACATCACCGCGCAGATACCGAATAATCGTCAGTGTTCTAACCATGCATACACCGAGAATTCTTAAGTTAGTAGATAAGTACACCGGTGACGTTTAATTTATGTTTATTCACTTTATTTATTTACCAGTATTAACCATTTTAATAATTTTGTTTTTCTTTATTATTTCATTGTATATTTTATAACAATGTAAATACAATCGGGAAACTGTTCATGGGAAACCGAGTCGTTTTTCGGGCATTTAAGTACCGCGTTTATTCGTTCGGAGAAGCGGTTCCCAACGGCGAATAACGCGAAAAATAAATAGAAAAACGTTTGATATAATAATTACAATCTGGAAAAAAAAAAAAGAAATTCGCGAAAAGAAAAAAACGCAAAAAATCTGACTGAGCGGGCGGCCGGGTTGTTCTTACGGAGCGTAAAGCGGCGGCGGTGACGCCGGGAATCTAACCGGGAACCCTAAACACTTAGCCTAACCTTCCTATCGACTTAGCTGCAATGTTTATTAAAGAAACGCATCGTTTCATGGGTATATTGTGGTATATGGTACACTATATTACGGCGTTATTGATTCGAAATTGTTTGCATTTTCATGATAAATTTAAATAAACGTTCGAAAATGAATGTTTGAATAATAAATATTTTAAAACGAAATTATTTCATAACATAAAATATTAGTCTGCCCAGAAATGCAACTTCCGAGAGTAAAACCAGATTATTATTGTAAACGAATAACTTCTATTTTCTCTTAACGAATAATATTATAATTGACTCGTTAATCTTTTCAAGTCTGAATAATATAACCTCAAACATTTGAATACGGTATTTATTCCGTCCACAATTACTGAATAAACATAAATATGAAACTAAAGTCAGACTATTCAAATCTGATCCGACTTTATATTGTTTTTGGATTTAAATAAGCAAGTTAATTTAACAGCCGTATTTTACCGTCAAAAATGGTACAACACATAAAATGCCAACTGCAGAAAGATATTTAGATTTTTTCATGATATTACTTATTATTAGGGCAAAGGAATTATTGTAGCTCTAAAAAAACACTAAATATTCAAGCACTTATGAACTCAAAAACTATATAATATAAATATATACATCATTTTTTTACAAAATTATATTTATTGAAAATTCTTCTTTTAAACCTAAAAAATAAAATTCCTAGAATCAGATTAAAAATTATTAAAACCTGTAGATAATTAAGTCAATAGAATTTTTACCTTAAAAATTGCATTGAATGACCAAATGTCGAACTGGAATGATTATTTATTGTCAGCCTACAATATTTCGAACATCGAAAACGATCTTTTTATATTGACGAAATTAACTGGGACGTATTTATAATAGACCAAATCATTTATTATTAAGTTTTCAGATTCAAATTTAATGACATAGATAATGTGTTTACTTTTTGTAAATAAAATTCATCTAATCAAAAACACTTGAGACATGTATCAAGGAAAAAGAACATTATTTTATTATAAAACAACCATAGTAATATTATATACGATCAAAATTTAAATAGTTTTAAATTCAACAATATTTTGTTTGTATTAGTTAAAATTAAAACATCGATGGAAAAATGTTGATAAAAAGATAAATTATATAAAATATGAATTTAAAAGTTTAAAATGGAATAAATGCACCCTAAAACCAAAAAAACTCGACATATTATGCATTTATATGCAAAATAAAATCTCAAAACTAGCTGTGTGATAAAAGTATGAAACGTATTTGTTTCGTACTCTGCTATTTTTGTGATTGTGCAAAACAAATATGCAAATGCTAAAAGTCCTCTGCCTTACCTATAATTATGAAATAAGATAAAATGGACTGGCAATGACAGGCGCAGTCGAGATTTAATACAGGAATGTTCGGTTATTGCAAAATCCACGAACTGCAATGATTTTTTCTAAACTAACAAATCGATCAAATTTTAACCAACGCACGACGACGTCAACTCAAAAACGTAGTCGCTACACTTTACATAAGTTAATAATGATTATTGTTTACCAACGAAATAACGGATTGAATTTCAAGCTCTGGTTTACCTCCACCATGGAAACTAAGTACCAAAACTTGACCGCAAACATTAGTTGCATTTTCATTCCATATTATATTTATCATCTTAGTGTTTATTTTGTATCACTATCTATGAAAGAACATCTTTATATATCCATTGCTCTACGCAGAAAAAAAAAAGTCAATTTTCAATCTTACTAAAAACAATACCTACCACCTACTTACAAATAAATTCTAAATACTAAAAGCGTTTCCATTTTAAGATAATTTAAACATTTTTAATCATAAAGAACATTATATATATAACAAATACAAATATGATATATAAATTTAGAGTAATATTTTTAGATTCTGAGTGGAGCAAAGAAGCTAATGGGTTTACAAAGATAATCTGTGAACAATTTTTCTACCAGAAGACTTGCTCAGATTTTTAAATGTAGTATCTTTTCTGAAAGGCAATCGTTGTGAAGAGGTACTTTAAGGAAGTGATTTTTTGATTTTCTCCGGAGTTTTTTCGGCAAATGTGAAAAACTAGGAAAAAACATAGGAAAACTGAGGAAATCGGTACATCATTTACCAAATATTATTAAAGAAATTAAGAAAATATATAGTCTACTTAATTATTTTACTATAACATGGCATATATATTGTTGACGAAGCATCACTATCAACTAAATTCTACTCAGAATCGTTTTTTTTTGTTATAATAATTAATTATTATAAAAATACCGAAATGTTTTTTTTTCAAATATTTTGGAAGAATTAAGACATAAAGACATTTTTAAAATGCAATTCAATAATATTTTTTTGATTTTTAATATTCATGTATCTATTATATAAAACCCATGAACTTATATTATTTCTTGTGTATTTAATTATAGCTAGGTATTTCATTTATTTTTTTATTTTTGAAAACGACGAAATTTTAATATTAGTTTTATTAATAGATGGCTTGCAGAAAACAAAGAAATTGTTTCATATAATATGTCAAAAACATTTTAGTAAGGTACAAAAAAAAAATGTAAAAATAATACTTCATAATACGAGTATATTAAAATGGGTATAACGAAAATGTATGTATACCAACGCACAACTTTATTTCAAACTGTAAAAATATTATAATCGAGAAACCTTTTTTTTATATTTTCAAATTCATTGACATATAGGTAAGCCACTCGTATCAGCATCCTGTTTCAATAAATGATTAATATTAAACTGTAATTTAATACATATTTTTCATAACGTGATTTACGAAGTACCCGTACATATATTACTTATATTTACGTTATTTAAACAATTACTTAAAACAAGACACACAGATTGTTTTTATTAATAAAAAAAACACCGTAACGCTTTATTGTTTAAATAACACAAGTTATACGACGTTGTTTAGTCAAACCCCAGTACTTTACACGTGCGTACGAAACCGCAGTGGGTTTTAATGCGCTCAAAATGTAGTTTTTATTTTTTTTAATACATACCGGCTATTTATACACAACGGCTTTACCTAGTTAAAATAAGAAACATTTTTCGAAATTTTCTCCGATTTTTTAGAATTTGAAATTTGTTAATACATTTTGATAGCAACTATAACGACAAGAAATTTCCCTTCTACTCGGTACCATTTTAGAGGAACTGATAAAACCTCTATTGTTTATAAACGACTATGACTTTTTGATGTTAAACCAATAATCTGAAGTAAAAATCACCCACTATAGCTTTCTCTGTTGTCTTGAAAATGTATATCTCTTTACTTAAAATTATCACAAAAAAATAGAACTATATATTCTAAAAACGATAGATAAAAAGTGTACAAAGTCAAATCATTTTCTATAACAAAAATTAGACTACTGAAAGTATGTTTATCTTATTCCAGCTTGTTAATCTAAATATATGGAAAAACAAATAACTTCCAAGTTCATTATAATTAATTTTTTTTTTTTAATTTTTTTACATGTGCGCAATTTTTTTTTCCAGAAAACTTGCATGGATTTCTACGTGTAGCACTGTTTTTGTTTTAATTTTCTCAAGAGTTTTCTAATCAAATGCGAAAAACCGAAAAAACTAGGAAACAAACAAAATATATTACTAAAATATTGCCATTTTTTTTTTTTGTAAACAACTTTTCTACCACCAATTTTGCTCCATCTTTTAACGATAGCAATGTTTCTAAAAGGAACTTTCATTA